GATCGGTGCGATGTGGACCAACGCCGATCATTGTGACCCGGGAAGAATAAGAAGAAAACGCTGATTCCAGCGTCCGCCAAGGAGAGTGGCAAGGACGGCCAGCACTTCTAGACCACTGCAACTCTGACGGCACCTCTTGACATAAGCTCGCAGTCAGGACTAATCGTGCGCATCGAAAAGCAACAATATTCTTTAAGTCATCCTTCCTGGTTCCGCCTTGCCCAAACGGCATATTTGGTACGAATGCGGCATCTGCCATCACGTGATTAGGTACTTCAGGACTGTTCTCCCACACACAGAAAAAAACGGCCGGCGATAGCAGCCTCAAACGATTTAGCGTGGCTTGCCTCATGCTTATGTCCATCTCTTGATCATAACGCCATCATTAAACCATCCTATAGCTCAAGACTTTTTTAGTCGATCCCTGCGGTTCTCTAAAGCTCCATATCTTACATCGCCTGTACCTCCGCTAAAAACTCTCGCTCACCCACACGCTCCGTTTAGTTTCTACTCATCCGCACTGCAAACCTCATTCGCGTTCTCGACGTGTCTTTGATTTCGGGGGCCGGTGTCGCCCGTGTCTCTACGATCTCGGCGGGCAGTCCCACCTGTATCTCCCCCGATCCTTGGTCCAGTCACACCTGCGTCTTCCCCCCGTTCCCCCGTCCCGGTCCAGTCTCCTGTGTCTCCCCCGACCCCTCGGTCCAGTCTCACCTGTGTTTCCGCTGATCTAGGAGGAGAGCGGCGAGATGGGCTCGTAGAGCTAGAGTCCGGACCCATTGGCCCGGATCCCGGCGGCGTCGATCCCCAGCATGCGTGACATCCTGAATCCAGCGGCGCGCACACCTCCCGCAGACTGGCCAGGCGTCGGGTAACGCGGCCACCAAATCGCGGAACGGACGCGGGCGCAGGCGAGGACGAGAGACCGCCATCCTGGAACGAAACGGTTGGCCATTAGGAGCGGTGCTCGACGCCGGGCAGCAGCGGCTCTGACACGCAACGCTGGGCTCCTCCCGAGCCGCCCGGAGCAAGCCGTACTCCAGCCCATGGCGCGTCGTAAACCGAACCAATCCCAAAGGGGCGCGCTTCACGGCCGCGCGCGGGGCGCGCTCATTCATGAAGCCATTGTCTGTCGCCGAGCTCCGTAACACGGTGTCAGATGACCTGCGACCGGACGGCGGCGGGGTCGCAAACGGCGGGGCCAGGCGTGGAGCGGGGGGGGGTCATGCCGGCTACCGACCTGCCGGGCAGCGGAGCGAGGTTAGCTCATGCCAGGTCACCGGTCATGCGGCTAGGTCGTGCCAGGCCACGGCCGGCCGGGGCAGCGGAGCGGGGAGCGGGCGAGGTCATGCTAGATTATCGACCTGCCGGGGGGCAGCGGCGAGGGCGATGGCGATGTCATGCCAGGTCACCACCGGCCGGGGCAGCGGAGCGGGGCGAGGCACGCCAGGTCACCGGCCAACCGGTCGGACACGATCAAAGGTGAGACGGGTCGACTGGGAGGCCCGGCTGACGCCATGTGAGCTGGTGTGTTGAGCCAGGGGAGCGGCAGCAGTGCCGCCGGGCTGCCGCAGTCGCCAGAGTACAAAGAGGCCACCGCCGGCCTCACATCGGCGTCACAACAAACCACAGAGTGCGCATGCTTTTACATGACTCCATAAATATTGCCCAACAACCAAATTGGTTACTAGGATTGCATACAGCATAGGCGTGAAACGTTTTTCAACGTAGATGAGACGAAACAAACGGATGCGAAGTTAGCAGTTGGTGTTTACTCAGGCACGCTTGGCGACTAAAATCATAGGCAGCACATTCAGACAAGCTTTGACGTCGAAGAAACATTCGCGCGCTTCTGATGTAAATAAAGGTGGATGTAGGCGGAAAGTACGCACAGATGTCAATATCACGCCATGGCCTATGCCACGCGGTTAGACAGGAACCGGTTGTATTGACGCAACAGACTCATGGCGCCGCAACTCATGGCGCTAGATTCATGGCCACCCCATACTCCTGGCGCCACAGACTCCTAGCGCCACAGACTCCTGGAGCCACAGACTCCTGGCGCCGTTACCACGGACATTGGTCGCTGAACACTTCCACAGTTGCAGCCGCAACACAACCCACAAGGACTATGGGTGGGGTAGAGGGAGAAATATATGTCGTTTCGCCATGTTAGGCGGACACGAGGAATCTCAAATAAGTCGCGGAACGCGGGGGGGCGGGGAGAGGGAACAAATTGAACTACCGAGTGAGGAAACATGCGCAATTCTGTGTTAACTTAGTGTGCGTGTCCAATAAACTCTCTGCTGAAAAACATGCAAAGGTAAGGGCCACACACACACACCGATTCGTAATTCTCTCGCGCTCATGTTCATCACCCCCTCCCCCCACCCTCTCTCTCTCTCTCTCTCTCTCTCTCTCTCTCTCTCGTCTCTCTCTGCTCTTCTCTCTCTCTCTCTCTCTCTCTCTTCTCTCCTCTCCTCCTCTCTCTCTCTTCTCT